ATTGGAATGCGTGGTTGGAAAGATGAAGACGGTAATAAAAGAGAACAAATTAAAATAGCCTTGGTGGGTGATTCTGCGTAAGTATCGTTATTATATTTTATAGCGATTTAATATTCTTTTACCTTCGTATTTAAGAATTTACTTTATCCTTTAATTCCTATTTAGGGGTGGAAACTTTGTGGCCTCGGTCATGTATAAAATTCTTGAATCTCCAACGAAGCTTCCACATCCTACTGGTCTTGTCCTTATATATCCGTGTTTGAATTTTAACATTACTTGTTGGATGTCTCCATCTCAACTCTCTGTTATCAGGGCCGAATCAACTCATTCTATCCCTGGTGTGCTAGAGTCAAAAGATCACTTAAGCCACAAGAGTCCTTTGGCTGTAGTTCCTGATGTTAAGAGGAAAAGGTGGAGAAAAAGTTCAAGGGATGACGACAGGACTATTGAAGAACGTGTTCAAGTGAATAATAATGCGACCGATCATGACAAAAATCCACGTTCAGTTATCGGAACACGATTGGCGATGACTAGCCGTATGAGTTACTTTAGCGACAGACTTATAAACCCCGATTTGGTAATAAACGATAATACGCTTTTTTACCTAAAACAATTTATAACTTCAATTTTAATGTCTTTTTTTTTTTTAGATGCGTGCAATGGCTATACTTTATCTTGGCCCTAACAACTATCCTGATTTTGATTCAGATTACTTACTTTCACCCATTGTCGGCCCCGATGAATTGTTGGCACAATTTCCGAAAACTTACCTTTTATGTGGTGAAAAGGATCCTTTTGTTGACGATACCGTAGTTTTTGCAGGTCGAATACGTGATGCTAAGCGAAGGAAAAAACAGTTGAGCAACGGAGGAAAATTTGGTGAAGGACTGAGGATGAGTGACTTAGATAAGGAGGATAAATCTACTGATTTGGAAAATTGTGTTGAGGTTAAAATTATTCAGGGCGTTAGCCATGCATTTTTCCAAATGATTCAATTGTTACCAGAAAGTAAGGGAGCAGTGAAAGTGTGTGCACAATGGCTAAAGGAATGTTTCCGAGAGTCTC